GCTCCGAGCGCAAGGCGCTGGCATGCAAACGCACAGAGTCCTCGCTCAGCAGGCAGGGAGATGGAGGGGAGTGCCACGGCCAGCACCATGCCCCACCACCTTTGTCTCTCCAGTACTGATGGTTGCACACCGTACCGGGTAATAATTTAATGGCCGATTCGATCTGACCTACGGGAGACCAAGGAAAGGTTCAGATACGTCACTGATGTTGGTTGTGAGTGGAAATCGATCTCGGTCTAAACGGGGTTCGAAGCGCATTGTGCTGACCGCGTCGTTACCGCTCCCCACACACAACAACCGTAATTCGCAACTAAGCGGCGTTGACGTCACCATGGCCTTCATGCCAGGCTACGGGCACGTGCAGTGAGGAAGGCTCGCTGGCAGAAGGTCATGGGACAGACCCAGCAGGTTCTATGGGTTGACCGACTGAGATAACTGGCAGATGCACCACCTGTACTCCCCACTTTGCCAACGTGCTGCATTTTAGCTGTCCAGCGTTATGCTCGTTGTTGTGAGCGTCGCTCCTCTGCCCACCGCTGTTGTTGGAGGGCGACTGCCGCCAAACTGCCCAGGAGCGTCCTTCACGAGCCTCCTCCACAGAGACTGATCTTGACACCACTGGTACCAGTCATCGGCAAATCCAATCAGCTCCACATCCTCCTGTACCACATCAGTACATCTCTTCTCTAGCCCGTGCCCGTTGAGCCACCTATAACCGGCAAACATAAACTGCTTCGCCATGCGGTTGCTGGGAATGTAGGCTATGTGACCCAGTCAACGCAACCTCACCTGACGGAGGAGTGCACTGATGGGAATTAATCCAGATCCTTCAAGAATTTGTGAGCTCCTCACACAATCCAGCCTGGTTAAACTCACAGTGGGTGGATCGTAGGCAGGCCAGCCTGAATGTTTCAAACAAAAGCAGATGTTCCTTCAGGGGGTCCACATTTCACAAGCATAGGAAGGCCATAACTGTGATCGAGAAGACCCGAAGCTTCGTGTGGAGCAAAACACCAGGTACCTTCCACACAGCATTACGCAGCTGGTGAAAATATAATGCCGCTCAACTGATTCAGACCGGAGCTGGTCATAAGCAAACTGCCCAGGTATGGAAACTTCTCCGCTCCCTCCACAACTGCTTGGCCACTCATGGGAAGTTTAGGGGGTGGAATATTAGAGGACACAAAATATCCAGGCAACTGCTTAAATTTGGTGAGGCTGATGGCAAGGCCCTGCCTCTTCATGGCACACTTTAGGTTCAGCAGCAGAATCTCTAACTCCTTATCAGAGTAAGCAGCAATCACCAAATCATCAGCATTCGTAGAATGGTTGACCAATACAGAGCCATCCCTTGATCGCACCTGGGCATCGATCAGCCTCCCATTATATCTGTACCAGATGAAACGTCCTCTGGTACAGCCATGGGAAGCTTCTCCAACTACATAGCCAGACCTGACCACCATTATGAAGGTCCTTAATGATTGTGAGCAAAGAGTCAGAGACCCCTAAAGCTTGAAGAATGACCCAGAGCCTGGCCTATTGATGGTATCATAGGCCTTGATGAGGTCAATAAAGCAGAGATGTAGGTTCCATTGAAATTCCCTACACCTCTGCTCTGGCAAACGGACAGAGAATATTGCATCCATGGAAACCACTCCTGCCCGAAACACTTGGGCTTCGCAAGCCTCTCCTCAGCATGCCTGGCAAGGCGATGTTGAAAAATCCTTGCCAGGACCTATCCTGGTACACTGAGGAGAGAGATGTCTCGGTAGTTGTCACAATCAGGAGGGTCTCCCTTCTTAAAAAGGGGGACCACCAGGGCATCCTTCCAATGCTGCAGAACCCATCATGTGGTCCAGACTGTTGTGATGATGTAATATAGGGCAGTCTACACACAGACACAACCCTCCCTCAGCAGTTCGCTTGGGATATCACGTCTGCCCGGCGCTATTCCTTTTCGTACTTTCTTAACAGATAATACCTCAGCTAGCCACTCACAGAGGATTGCTACTTACAATTACAGACAATAACAACACACTCCGCTCACCACTAAGTGGCGGTGATGTCACCACGGCGCTTGTGCTATGCTAGGTGCACTTTGAGGACACATGAAGTGTCGAAAGCCTGCTGGCAGGAAATCATGGACGAGACCCAGCAGGTGCCATGGGTTGACTGACTGAGGTGGCTGGCAGATGCACCAGCTGTGCTTCCCACTGTGCCAAATCTCTGCGGTTTAGCCACCCATTGCTCCGCACACACAAAGACAAAGATCCCCCATATAGCTTTTAAGTCTGTTGGGGCAAGTCCTGTTAGCGAGCACCTGTGAAGGCCGGCACAGCACATAAGGGGGTGGGTGGCCAGCACCACGCCCGGCCACCTTTGTCTCCTGAGTTGCAATATTTACACCCTGCACCAGATACTCATTTGAGTCCACAGAGGGGAGGCCGTGGACTCGCTCAGATAATCGTCACTGGTGTTGGCGGTGAGTGGGAATAAAACTCGGGTTGCTGGGTTCATAGCGCAGCGCGCTAACCATTGCACTACCGCTCCCCACACACACACATATATACACACACGTGTAGAGGCTGACAAAGGCTAAAGAAGAGACTGAATTTAGCAGGAGCCTGGAAACAATTGTGGGCCCTGCAAGCCAGCCTGATAAGGAAGCCTCCGCTTTGCTCCCATAAATCCCTTTCAGCGTGCATTGATAATAATGCACTTCCCTATTAACTCAACAACATGCACGCATACTGTTAAACATCGGTCTGCAACAACAAAGAATCATGCACGGACATAACAAACACATACAGCATGCGTAACACTCGTGCATTAGCCTGCCAACTGCAAGCAGTTGCAGTAGGGCCCACCTGTGTAACGCTTACTGACCGTGTGACCCCCTTAGCCCATAAGGGCCTTGTCGGAGGAATGAGTTAGCGTTTATGAGATGCTGGCTATGCATCTGGGCTTTAGCTACTCAAGTTTTAACCAGATTGTCAAGTCGAGAAACTCTAATGTTCCTTGGCCAATCGCCCATTATTATTGCACCAAAATAGAACAATACATTTTTTATTATTTCTGCCCAGCCCAGCTCTGTGGGCTCAATGCTCTAAATATATACTGAATGACTGGCACGGAGTGAACTGCACTTCAAGGCTTCACAGCAAGTAGCTCTTGGGTTCGATTCCCGACTTGGGCGTCATTCTTTGTGGAGTCTATATGTTCTCTCTCCGCCTGGTCTGCATCGGTTTACTCTGGGGTACTCCGGGGTACTCCGTGATACTCCGGGAAACTCTGGGATACTCTGTGGTACTCTGGTTCTTTTCCCTATAGCTAAAACAAACATAAACATACCATGTGACTGGTACTGGTTCAAAACACATTCAAGTACCGAACATGTACGTATATATGTATAACTTCTTTCGCACCGTACATAGCCAACCGTGATAATCAAATTGTTACTCAATAGCGACATCACCTCTCGCTGCGAAAACCTGGCAGGATCCTCCTGAAAAAGAGTCTTGAAACTCATTGCAGCTTTGCTCGGTAAATACGTCCAGTAGTAGTAATAGTAGTAATACGTGCAGTAGTAGTAGTAATGTGTAGTGGTAGTAGTAATACGTGTCGTAGTAGTGATGTGCAGTAGTAATACGCGTAGAAGTAGTAGTAATGTGTAGTAGTAATAAGTGTAGGAGTAGTAGTAGTGTAGTGAGTCCAACTGAGTCACAGACATTATTCTTCAGAGGCAACACATTTATTTGTAACACGTATATACAAAAGGGTAACTGCCCCTTTAACCAGATCCAGCCTGGGTGACCACCCAGCTAACTACACTATACATAGGAGTTACAGCTACGAAGGGTCAGACCCTCACTCGGGTCCCCGGCCACGTGTTGGTGACTCTTCAGACATAGGACGTAGGACGTAGAACGTAGAGCTTCCAGCTTGTAGAACGAAGAGACCCCGGTCCCACTAAGGGACCCACCTTATATCCTCCCGGGTCGGAGCCGGCTCCGCCCTCGGCCCCACCCACCTTCGCGATCATTCTAGCTCCCTCTCGATCCCACCTGGGGCCCTCTCTGTGGACACTCCGGATCACTTGCCTACGGGGTCAACCAGAGTGCCATGGCCCAGGGCAACCCTGTCCCTGGGCTGACACTCTTTGGCTCCCCCTTGTGGGAGCCTGCACTACACGCCATGCGTGGTGCCCGCGCTATCCCAGCGCTCACCAAGCCCCGCTAGGGCTGGTACACCACTACACCCACCTACGGTGGTGTACGTGATGACAGTGCATCACACACCGTGCTATGCTAGAGCCGGCCTCACACAGCAACACACACAATGCTGTCCGCGACGTAAGTACATTGCACGCCACGGCCCTCCTGGGCCGACACCATACAGTGACATCCCCGATGTCACTACATCACCCCCCCCTCCTCCCCCTTCGAAGCATTCAGCCGTCCCAGCTGGAAACTCCCCCTCCAAACGAACACATTAGTGAAATGCAAGAGGAAAAAAAAACAGTGTGCCTCAATAATAACAGCAATAAATACCTCAAATGTATAAAATCCGCAGGGAGAAGGGTGTAAACCAACGAACCCAAAACAATACCACACAAGGAAAACGCGTGAACCCTCAGGATCCCCTCCACCACCACACCTCCCACCTTCACCGTGTAACTACGCTCGTGAGCTCAATAGCGGCCAGTATCAGCCAATAACCTCCACGACTCAACGAGCGCGACAAGCAACTGACAGCGTGGGAGTGTGTGTGTAAGGGGATCACGAAAAACGAGTCTTTGAGCGAGTCCATGATGCCAGGCCCCCAGGGGAGGTGGGCTCGCTCACCCTGGAGGTCCCGCGGGGAATGTGCAAATGTTCCGCCGAACCCGGCTCCTCACGGAGAGCAGTAGGCCGGGTTGACGGGTCCTCCGCGCTCGAAGCCTGCGAAGCCGGCATGCGCGGCCGTTCGAAAGACGTCAGTTGCGCAGCACCTGGGGGCGGAACAGAATCGCTCCGCTGAGGACCAACCGCAGCAGGCACACACCCCGGCTCGTCGGACGCATTCGACACTCGGCCCCTGCGATATGGAGATGAAACGAATTCGCACGGCGTGATAAACAGTTTCAGGTGAGAGGGATGCACAAACCAACTCCGCCGACCCAAGCTGATCTGGACACACTGGTCGACCAACCCAAACAACATTGACCGGCCCCCGCCAGGGCTGGAGTAACTTAGGCGATGTACCCACCCGCACCTGCGGACAGTGCAACCAGGCCTTGTCCCCAGGTGTCCATTCATACAGAGAAGCATGCACTCCCTTAAGCCGTTCGTTGGCCAATTGTCGTGACTCGGAATTAACCCTGGAAGCTTCCCGTGCCTCGGAAAGCTTTTGAAGAGTGAAACGAACAGAGTCAGAAATCTTGCATTTATACATTTTGGGCGTGGCCTGTAACTGCACATCGATGGGGGGGGGACGTATTCCCTTCCATACATAAAAAAAATGGTGAGTAGCCAGTGGACGCGTGCGGGGCCATCCTGTAAGCCGTGAGGACCGTAGAGAGTCCTATGTAGCCGTTCGACCATGTCGTCCACCTGCGGGTGGAATGGTGACGTGCGCACCTTCTTCGTTCTCAACAAAGCGCAGACCTCATGCAGCAATTTAGAAGATAAATTATTGCCCTGATCGGTCAAAAGGCGTTCAGGAGCACCCTTGTCCATAACATAACCATTGAGGAATGCCTCAGTAATAGTCACAACCGATTGATTAGGGAGCGGCCCGGTGACAGGCCATCGTGAAAAATACTCGACCCCCACAAGCAGGTATTTGTTCCCTCGAGCGGTAGTGGGGAACGGAACAAGGGATGTCCACAGCAACAAGTTCATTGACACGCGACACCTAAATTGACTGCAAGGGGGGGTGACAGGGTTTCGCCGGCGGCTTCCGCCAAGCACACTGCACGCACCCTATGAGCAAATTTTCCACATACGCAGACATGGCCGGCCAATAGAAATCCAGTTTCAGCGTGGCCAGCGTCTTCTGCACGCCCAGGTGCAAGAGACGCTCATGCACAGCCCAAATAACCTCGCCTTGGAGGGCAGTGGGGACGACTATGGTATAACGGCGCAGCCTCCCGTCCCAATGCATGACTAAGCTGCCCCGCAGAACAACCGAGGCGACGCCGCGTCGATCCGTGCCCCTATCAGCTTCCCTCACACAACGCTGCAATTTGAGTAGCGAAGCGTCTTCCACCTGAAGGTGTCCCCATTCCTCGTAATCCAGGCCAATGAGCGCATCGCGTGCGACCGGACCGGCGCCTGTCCCGCCTGTCGCCGTATCGGCAGATGCCGCAAGAGGAGAAAGCTAAGTCACATCGGTCGGTTTACACCGCCCGGAACCCGAAAAACATGCAAACCCTCCGGTCGTTGGTAATCGCGACAGGGCATCGGCGTTCGTATGACGAGAACCCTTGTGGTACATGACATGGAACGAGAAGTCCTGCAGGATCTCCAGCCAGCGTGATAATTGGCCTGACGGCTGGTCCACACGCAGCGCATATTGGAGCGCTGCATGATCGGAGCGCACCTCAAATCATCTACCGTACAAGTAGGGGCGATATTGCTGCACAAAAACCACAATGGCCAGCAATTCACGGCGCGTAACACAGTTTGCTGTTCGACCGGAGACAGCATCCTACTGCCGTACGCAACAACGCTCTCCACCCTGCGACAAGACGGTTCCAATTCCGGTATTGCTAGCATCCGTATAAAGGATGAACAGCAATGAAAAATCCGGAAAACACAAGGGAAGGGGCGTTCACCAATCCATCGCGGATGGCACGAAATGCAGCCTCCTCTTCCTCCCCCCAATGAAACTTATGACCCTTAGCCGTTAACGCGTGGAGAGGTTTTGCAATTGACGCGAACCGGACAACGAAACGGCGATAGGATGCAAAGCCAATTAAACTGCGCACCTCACTCACCAAGGTGGGGGTTGGCCAAGTTCGGACGCACCCAGTTTTCTCCCGGTCGGTCGCAATACCAGATTCATTAACAATGTGTACAAGATACCGAACCGATTTCTGGAGGTGACATTTCTGAGGTTTAAATGTAAGGTTAGCCGCATGCATTTTTAGGAAGACGGCACGCAGGCTGACCAAGTGGTCATCGAAAGTGCGGCTGAAGACGATTACATCGTCGAGATATATCAAATACAAGTCCCACTGGAGACCCGCCAGGACCAGTTCCATCAAACTTTGGAACGTGGTTGGTGCGGAATGAAGTCCCATAGGAAGCCGATTAAATTCGAACAATCCCTGAGGCATGCGAAAGGCCGTCTTAGTTTTGAAGCATCGTCAAGCGGCAACTGCCAGAACCCAGATAAGAGATCGAGGGTAGAAAAGAAACATGCCCCCGCCAACGCGTCAAGCGAGTCATCCATGCGAGGCAAGGGATACGCATCCGCAACAGAAACCTTATTAAGCTTTCGAAAATCAACGCAAAATCGTAAGCTACCATTGTGCTTCTTCACAAGCACAATAGGAGCTCCCCAGGGACTGGTGGATGATGAAATGATGTCTGCGGCCAACATCTCATCAACCGCCAGCCGAACATGTTCCTTTTCCGCCGGGCTCAGCCGGTAGGGATTCTGCTGGATAGGGGCCGCGTCGCCCGTATCAATGTGGTGACTCAGGAGCGACGTGCATCCAATGTAAAATTTTCCCTTGCTAAAAATATCCTAAAATTCATGCAAGAACACCCGTAGCCTTCCTATCTGGTCCACGGACAAAGTGCCACTCTCAGCACATAGTTTGTTTATTTAACCTTTATCCACGTCCCAGGGTTGTCGTGTGCAAGATTTAGCACCCACATTCCCTACGACGCCCCCTTCCGGACGCGCCGGTGACGCATGAGCCAACACAGTACCCTCCTGGATGACCGTGGTGTTCAACCCAGCATTAAAAACCTTAATAAAAGGTTCCTGGTCGTTGGACATTAAAGTCAGTCCGCAACTGACCTCAGAAGGTCCCAAAACAATTCCGCGCTTCGTAGCCCCCAAATCGAGCGGCTTCCATAAGCGGAGGGGAACTAACATCTGTGCGCCGGGGGGAATTCTGACCGTTCGGCGCGCGAGCGCCTGCACCGTAGCGTTGGCCGTACACAAACGGGTGGGGGAAGGCAAAAATGCCATATGAAAGCCGGATGGCAATTCCAAACAGCCACGGTCAATGCGGATTTTCAAAGGCATCCTTCCAAAGAAATTGGTTCTAAGTAAACATGGTACAGCCAGGGACGTGGAGACAAGAATATGTCCCGACAATTTAACATCAGCGATGCGCACCTCGGCCGTTATCCGACCAATAATAGTCAATGAGCCGCTGTTAGCGGCGAACCACGGTGCATCAACAGGGTCTAGAACCCGACACTTAGAGGGCAAAATATTGTAGATCAATTCCGAGATGATAGTTGCCATCGCACCCATGTCAACAAACATCCTTATTCCACACCCTCAATAAACCCAAGTACGGCATATGAACCCGCGGCCGTAGCCACCACTCGATGGGCTAGTTCTGACCACTGATCCGGTTGGAGCGGACGAAACTCACAATCACGCATAGGACCCCCCCGTACCGACGCGTGACCAGGACGCGAACCGAAACGCCTAGATGGGTGAGGTGAAGCTAGGGGTCGAGTGTGGAGTGCGTCGCGACTCGCCTTAGGGTGTAGGGAAGCGTAGGATGGCGGCGATGCTGGGAGGCGCCGTTGTGGTACGTGGCAGCCCGATGACACGTGCCCCGCCAGGCAGCAATTGTAGCAGGTAACACGGCCGCCTCCGGAACGAGACGACGACCTTGGCCGCCGCTGCTCGTCCGTCCGTCGCGCTCGACCATCACACCGGTTGCCTCCACCCCGAGTCGATGCGCATGCCGAAACGGGCTCCGCTCCATTCGGTGGCCCCGGCTCCATGCGGGACGCGGCACATGTCACCTGCGCCCTGTCTTGTTGTAGAAGTTGCTGGGCTTGGCTGCACTTAGCAATCTTGAGAGACGAGATGTCATCATCTTCGGCTGGAAGAATGGTGTGGAGGACTTTTGCCAAGGCCAGCAGTCTCTTGAGGACCAATGCATCGATAGCATCGTGGTCCATTTTCGGGAAGGCGGCTTTCGCTAGCGCCAAAAGCGCGTTACGGAAGGCGAGGGCCGACTCGGTTTCCCCCTTCCGTCGCGTGGCGAACTTGTGGCGCGTATTCGCCGGAGGCTCGTAGATTGATGCCATCTGGTCGAAAGCCTGAGTAAGGGTGGACCTCTCCAGCGGCGGGATGGCGAGAAACGCCGCAAGGGTGTCGTCGTCGAGGGCAACAGGCAACGCCCGCAACGCCTCCGCCTCTGTCCATCCCGCCAAGTCGGCGATCGTGAGGAACCGCCACTTGAAGGCCACCCAGTTGCCACTGGTAGCCGCAAACTCTTTAATAAAAGGAAGCCGACGGTGGAGAGCCGGGATGTCCATCGGCGCCGGCGACTAAATGGCACCCGAATACGCGCGCTGCACCGCCGAATTTCCCGCCTGCTGCGAAATGGCGGTGAGTCGTTGTCCACGAGCAGCATCGCCGCTCCCTTCTTCACCGGCGAGACCGTGGGACTGATCTCCGCGAGAAGCGAAGCCGCAGTATGGAGGAGCCCTGCGAGGCGACCGTGCGCCTCCCGGAGGGTCGCCTCTGCCGACGGCGAAGCGTCGCGCGCCCGGATGGCGCTCTGCTCCGCTGGCAGCATCTCCTCCGCATCCTCCAGAGCTGTAGGTGGCACGAGGTCCTCTTCCTCGCTGTCCGATGTCCTGGAACGTGGTCTGCGACGTGTAGACATAGTCTACCGCTAGCTGTATAGACTTGCGTATTGGCCACTTCCGACACCAGTTGTAGTGAGTCCAACTGAGTCGCAGACGTTATTCTTCAGAGGCAACACATTTATTCGTAACACGTATATACAAAGGGGTAACTGCCCCTTTACCAGAAACAGCTGAGGGTGGTGACCACCCAGCTAACTACACTATACATAGGAGTTACACAGCTACGAAGGGTCGGACCCTCACTCAGGTCCCCGGCCACGTGTTGGTGCCTCTTCAGACCTAGGACGTAGAACGTAGAGCTTCCAGCTTGTAGAACGAAGCGACCCCGGTCCCTCTCAGGGACCCACCTTATATCCTCCCAGGTCGGGGCCGGCTCCGCCCCCAGCCCCGCCCACCTTTGCGAGCGTTCTAGCTCCCTCTCGATCCCTCTCAAGAGCTCTCCCCGGATACGTGATCATCCCCTAGCCCCCGCCCCCGCCCCCCCCCCACCTGGGGCCCTCTCTGTGGACACTCCGGATCACGTGCCTACGGGGTCAACCAGAGTGCCATGGCCCGGGGCAACCTTGTCCCTGAGCTGACACTCTCCCGCTCCCCCTTGTGGGAGCCCGCACTACAGCCTCACGGCCCCATGGTGATAACAGCTCCATTGGAAAATAATTCAAACGATGTTACAAACATTAAAATATACACAATAGCCAAAAATCCTAACAAGTTGATATTTAAAAAAAAAACATTACAAAGCAAATAAACTCAACAAAAACATTTTTTTTTACTTTTTCCGATTACTCAAAAAACAATTAATGCCATTTCTTTCGAGACATTTAAGTCTGAAATGAAAATAACCATGCTTGCAGGAACGGCCAATGAAAGAAAACGCAATCACCACTCAAAACGAAGACTCAAGTAGCCAGCAATGATTGGAAGTGGAAATGAGATTGGTAAAGTCAGCAGGATTTATCGCTGTTGGGGGACGGATGTTGCCTTCACAAGTTTATTTGTGAGTTAATTATATTTCTTTCCTCGTTTTGACCATCTCAATTGCATCTGTAATTACACTGTGTAACAATTTTTTTTGTTCCTGGGTAGTAAGTGTTATTTCCTAATTGCTTATGCCTCAAAAGTACCGAAAATTTCTATTTTTCTCCACAAACTTTGCTTTTGTGACCAGGAGAGTGATATTTAGAAATTTACTAATTTTCAATGAGAAAACGGGCGAATTTGTGTCTTTTCGTTCACGTAAACTCAGAAAAAAACAACATATGAATAAAAATGTACATATATTTGTACTAAAGTAATACAAAAATGACTACAAAAGATTTAGACACCAAGACGCACTACCACAGGCAGGACTGGCCAAAGCGGACCGAGTTCTCTGTGGAGAGGAACAACATCAAGTGGGAGCCACTGGTGGATCCCCAGAAGGTGCTGATGCCACCACTGCACATCAAATTGGGCCTCGTGAAAAATTTGACCACAGATAAAGAAGATCCTGGAATGCAATGAATTCCCCAAGAAGCTCACTAGAAAGGAGAAAGCGACTTGGAACAGCTTTGTCGCAGTGGTTCGTGGCTTCCTGGGCAATCACAAGGTCTAAAACGATGTGGAGCTGGTTGAGAATCTGAAGAACTACGGCACAATGGGCTGAAAGGATGTCCCTCAAAGTCCATATCCTTGATGCTCATCTTGATAAATTCAAGGAGAACATGGGAGCGTACTCGGAGGAGCAAGGCGAACACTTCCACGAGGAAAAATTGGATTTTGAACGCCGCTACCAAGGACAGTATGACGAGAACATAATGGGAGACTATATTTGGGGGCTGATTCGTGAAAGTGATTAACAGTATAATCGTAAATCTCGAAAAACTACTCACTTCTAAATCTTTTGTAGTCATTTTTGTATTACTTTAGTATAAATACACGTTAATTTTGATTTATGTTGTTTTTTTCTGACTTTATGTGAACGAAAAGACACAAATTCGCCAGTTTTCTCATTGAAAATAGGTAAATTTCAAAATATCACTGTCCTGGTCACAAAAGCAAAGTTTGTGGGGAATAATAGCTATTTTCTAGACGTTTTAGGCATAATCAATTACGAAATAACACTACCCAGGAACAAAAATTGTTTTACATAGTGTTATTTCCCGTCTCGCGTGCGATATAGTAGCATAGCATTTGTACTCGACACATCTTCGCATCGCTTGGAAGCCCATCACCACGGCCCGCACCGAAGAGGCCCCGCATTGTGCAGCGCCAAGAGCTGCAGCCATAAGAGGTTTTTTTGTTTTTGGGGGTTAGATCGCGTAAATATATAAATGTGTCATTAAAACCTGCCACCACCCGACTCAGCCAACTCGCAACGGTTGTCACGTAAACATAACATGGCAATTTTTCACTCGTACAGCACACCGGTGTGTTGGAGAGCCAAGCCACAACATTTACAATCTGAGTACGACGTTTCGCCAGTAATTACAACTGGCTTCATCAGGCGACAGCCAGCTGCAGCCAGTCTGGCACCGCTTGTTTAACCACAGGTTACACACCCTGCTGATGAGACTCAGAGAAATCGAAACCGGCCCGGAGTTAGTTTGCTTTGGACAACATCGGTCGGGAAGATGGAAAGGCTGGCGGACCCATGGTGAAGCAGCCCTCCAGAGTGTTTATTTTGTACTCGGGCTGTTGTGCAGCTCTAGCAATCGGCTCCGTGTGTTACAGACGGATGTAAAATACGGGCCGATAACCGGACTCAGCTACATGTGACGCTGAGGACCACATGTGTGGTGCATGACTGGCACACGAGCCCACCATCACCCATCTGCAACCACGACAATGTGAGGGCGCGACGGCGAATCATCAACCACACGTTCAAGCCAACCAGATATTTGCACAAACGCCCACATGAAGAAAATGGAGGACTCAAATAGCCAACAAAAACCTAATGACCAATATTTCCAGATTTAGTTTTTAGCGCCTGTAAAGCACAGCGATTGCAACGTAAACAAAGCACACACACACACACGGCCGAATCTTGCTGTCACACTTGGGATCGAGCGCCAAACTCCTCCCTCACTGCACCGGGCACAATTCAGACTAGAGCAGCAGTCAGGGTGATTGAAGATCGAGCACTCACTGATTCGCTCCAGTTACGCATTCACTGGTGGTCAGTCGCCTCCCTAACACTCTTCTATCGTAACTACCACCATGGTTGCTGTCCCTGTGAACTTAATTCGTTAATTCCTCATATTTTGAGGACTCGGTCTATCAGACTGTGTCATCTCATCCACACTGTGTTCAACCAATACACTGCAGATTACAACAGCACAGTCCCACTCACCCACCCACCCAATCACCCACGCACCCGATCAGCCACCCACCCATTCACCCAAAACCAATACCCGCCATTCACCACTCAGTGATGGTGATGTCACCACGGTGCCTGTGCCAGGCCAGGTGCACTTCGAGGCCACGTGAAGTGTCGAAGGCTCGCTGACAGGTCACAGGACAGACCCAGGTGCCATGGGTTGACTGACTGAGATGACTGGGAGATGCACCAGCTGTGCCCCCCCTACACACCCACTCACTCGCTACACTGCAGATTACCTCACTTCCCCGGTTTTTCCCATGCACTGCTCCACTTTGGAATTCCCTGCTATCCTCTCTTTTACCAAAATCCTCTAACCATGCTCAATTCAAGATACGTATTCATTCTTGTCATTACTAAGTTGGAAGTGCTGTTTGTTCCTGGCTGCTTTACTTGTTGGGCTTTTGCTCGGCACCTGTGTTTAAAATAAATAAATACAGGGTGGCCCCAAAGTCAGGATGCATAGGGTTATATTTATTTAAAAACTGACTGCCATTAACATAAATTCATGCATATGTTCTCTTTTGAAATTAATTTAGGACATTTTAACATTATTGGTGTAATCTTTGAACATGCATCAATTGTTTTATCTCAATGCATGCAGGGTTCTTGATTGAGTCTTGTAAACAATAGACTTTAATAATGATAACAGATAAAATATTAACTAAATGAATAAACAATTTACATGTTTAATGCCAGTGTTAAAATAAACTAAATAACCCTTTGTGTCCTGACTTTTGGGCCACCCTACATAAAAATAATACGTGACTAGAGTTTGGTGGTACAAATTAACTATAACACCTAGTCAAGGAGCATAAACCATCATCCTGCAAACTCCGATCATCCTCACAGTGGCTTCTGGCTGGCCATCGAACAAAGACGGTTACTGTATCGCACGCTTTCAGATGCGCATCTGCGGCCGTCTGGAATGCTCTTCCTTCCGATATTCGGAAGCCACTGGAGCTATGCACTTTTAAATCTAGATTGACAAACATTTCTTTAGACCTGCTTTTTGTGTTTAGTTTGTTGTCCTTCCCCCGTACCTCGAATAAGCACGGCTGGCTACGTACAGTTCGAAGGAAGTTCAACATATGTACTGTATATACAGTCATGACGGGGTGGCTGGGTGGAGTGTGTAACCGTGCCAACCGCTGAGATCCCGTGCTCCGACCCGATGATATCGTCCACGATAGTCACTAATAATTAAGGAAAACAACATCATCATTATTATTACTAGTATCATACCACATGTTTACCCAGCCAAGTCTCATCGCGTCTCAAGACTTTTTTCTCAAGAAGGTCTTTCCAAGTTTCCACAGCAGGGGGTGATGTCGCTGCTGCGTGTGATCCCAAATGAGTAATTTGCAGGTTATTTTCAGTATTTGGGATACTTTGGCCAATACCAAATACATGGTATGTGGGGTTATGTTAGCAATGTAAAGTACACCGGGTAATCCGAAAGGAAACCCTTGCAGAACAGGGGAAGAGGACATACAATTGGATAGGCACAAGAGTCGGGAATTGAACCCAGGCCCCTTCTTGTTTTATAGGCACGGGCATTAGCACTGAGCCACCCTGCCTTGCCTGCCGTCCTTTGCAAGATTAAAATAAATGCATACTATCCACCGACGTGGAAGACAAC